CCTCTCATGGGCTGCAGCAAGCTCACCATCCCTGAGCGCGTCCCTCTCGCGGGCCGCCAGAAGCTCAGACTCTAAATTAGAAAACCTTTCATGTGCTGCCACAAGCTCACCCTCCCGGAGCACGTCCCTCTCACGGGTCACCAAAAGCTCAGAATCAAGCTCGACAATCCTCTCCTGAGCAGTAATAAGCTCCCTCTGCACAAGGCTAAGATCCAACTTCAGCTTGTCTTGATTATAGGCCCTCGAAAGCAAGCAGATGGAGGAAGTCGAAACCTAAAAAAAAAAAAAAAAAAGGAGTCAAAAACACAGGAAACGACTGGAGAAAGGGAAATAGCAGACCCTTACCTGAGCCAGACCTTCCAAATACGTGTTGACGATATTATCAGTGCCCGAAGCACTAAGCTCAGAAACTTCTGGCCCAAACACAAACCTCTCAAGCCTTGCCCTGATAGCTGCTGGTCTCCCCATCATAGAACCAGCCCAAATCGGCACTTAGGTAGAAGTTCCTGAACAAGGAGGAGACAAAGGAGGGGTAGCACGAGGAGAGGATAAAGGTGGAACAGATGTGCCTGACAAGGAAGATTCTGGAGCAGCAGTTGGAGAAGGTTGCCAGTTGAGAAGGAGCCACCGTGGAAGCCACATGGGGGCATCATCTGTCCTTATCACTTTGGAAGAAGAAGATTCTGGAGCAGCAGTTGAGAAGTTGCCAGTTGAGAAGGAGCCACCATGGAAGCCACATGGGAGGGCATCATCTGTCTTTATCACTTTGGAAGAAGAGGGCTCCTGCTAGAAAAATGGGGCACCACCACCCTCCTTACTCGCTGCAACACAGAATAAAAAAAGGGAAAAAAAGAAGAAGTGTGCAGCATACCGGGCTTTTTAGCAGCACCCCAATGTGTTGGCACCAAAACTCTGTCGGCTTCTGAAGCCCATTCTCCACCAATAAACAAGAAACAAGATTTCCAGCCGCCGCAATTAGAGCGCATCCCTGTAAGCACTGTACCACTCCGCGCAGTAAAATAGTACCATCCCCTATTTGGTGTAGGGGTTTCGCTCAAATTATATGCTGCATGAAACTCCATAAGGGAAGCATCCTCGTGGTGCACCTTTCTCCATAAGGCAAGAAAACCGAGCAGGACTCTCCAACCGTTGGGCGCTAGTCGCCCCGGGGTCAAGGAGAAGTAATGCAAAACTCGACAAATGGGGGAGGACATGGGAAATCTTAACCCAGCCTCAAGCATCTCCTCGTAGACAACAATATCCCCGGAAGAGTCATCGCAAGCAAACTCGCCCAACTCAGCCCGACGGCACAACACGGTCGGAGGGATGCGATAAGTAAAAACAAGCCTAAAAATATCTTCATCTGAGCAGAACAAACTATGAAAGGGTGCTCACCTTAGACCCGTCATCATCAAGTCCCACTTTGCTATTGCGTTTCTTCTTTCGGGGCCTTAAGGAGTAGTCCAAATCACCATTGGGAGAGTCTTGAAGAACTTGAATCGGGGGAACTACAACAGGGGCTTGATCATCAAGGGCAGCACCCAAAGCTTCCCTACTACTTGCAATGTCTAGCCCAACGCCTGAAAGTGTGCCTGACTGCTGTTGCTCATCAAAACAAAGTTGCCCAGTAGCTTGAAGGGTGCTTGGCCCTTCAATATTGCACAAAGCAGAATTTTCGGCGCAAAAATCAGCACCATCGAGTGAGAATCGGATCAGCCCGTGCTCCCAGGCCACTGCCTAGCTCCCCTGACAAACCTTGGACTGATTTTCAGCGCCCCTCGATGAAAAATGCTGCTGCCCAGCGTTCCAAAGCCGCCCAGCGCAGCAGATCTGAAACTGTCCGGGACAGCAGAAAGCAGCAGCTAGGCTGCTGCCCAGGCGCACCTGGGCTGTCCAGGACAGCAAGGCCAGTGCCCAGGCAGCTGCCCCCAGCGCGCCTGGGCTGTCCAGGACAGGAGGAGCAGCGCCCTAGGCAGCTGCCCAGGCCCCCAGCAGCGCGCAGAGCAGCCGCCAGCCCAGGCCCCCCGCGCGCGCAGAACCCGCCCAGGCCCCCAGCTGCGCGCCTGCGCTGCCCAGCCGCGAGCCCCTTTGCTGCCCAGCGTCCTCCCTGCGCAGCCCAAGCCACTCCTCGCGCTGCCCTCATCTCCCCTTCGTTGTCCAGCCTTTCAATTTCAGATCCACAGCTTTCTTCAACCTCCACCAATCCCTCTTCAATCAACATTGTTCACTTGAGAAGCTCAACTAGCAAGGAAGAAATCACACTCTTGAAAGGATTCAAGGAGAACACACACTTTGGCTGCAACAAAAATGGGTAGGACTTGAGTTCTCAAAATTTTCAAGAGGTGGGTGCTCAACCTTAAAAATAAGTGAAGTGGTAACTTGAAGAAGAAGACTATATTTATAGTCTAGGGTTTTCAAAAAGAGAAAAAAAAAAGCCAAATAGACTATTATGGGCCCTCTTCAAAATAAAGTAGGCAAATAGAAAATTATGAGCCCTCTTCAAAACAAAGTGGCCAAAAAGAAAGTTATAAGTCATTTTCAAAACAAAAAGGCCAAACGAAATATTATGGGCCTTCTTTAAAATAAAGTGGAAGAAACTTAAAAAAAAAAAAAATGTAATCAATGCCTCCTTCTCCAAGTCTCCTTGGACATGGGGCAAATGATGGGTTTAAGTCCAAAATAGTCAATTTATGTATTAAAGCCCAACCCCGGTTGAGGAGCCCAACCTCATTGTGAATCCACCAAGTCCAAGACAGACCAAGGCCGGTTAGACTTCTTGCTTAGCACGTCCACCAAGGGAGAGCACGGGAAGTTTATCTGCACCACGCCAAAGGAAAAAATCCAAATCCACCAAGTCCAAGACAGCCCAAGAGCCGGTTAGACTTCTTGCTTAGCACGTCACCAAGAAAAGAGCACGGGAAGCTTATCTATCCGCACCACCGAAGGAAGGAAACGGTCCAATCTTTGACCACGTTTCATGAAGAGCTCCCCAACCTCTTCCTTCCGTTGAGGATAAGTCGTGATCTCCACCAAAGATAATCCCTAAGCTGCGATAAAGAAGCCTTGAGGATATGTCATGATCTCCACAAGAATGATCTCTTAGCTACTATAAAATGGCTCTAATCTGGAGAGGAAGGACACATGCTCCATCAGAGACTTACAGAAGACGAACCGACTACCGGAGATTATTATTTTCTTTGATTCTCCATTCCCCCTCTCAAAGCTTGTATCTCCATTCTCCATACTTTGAATCAATAAAATACCCGGCGACTGAAGCCATTGAAGAGTGGACGTAGGTCGAATTGACCGAACCACTATAAATTGTGTCTTCTCTAATTTTTTCGTTGATTTCATTGCATTTATTATCTATACTTGACAGGTGGTGTGCAAAACCATTTTTTGTGCATCATCAGATACCATCAAATATTTTTCGCTTATTATTTTGTCTTTTTGTGTATCATGACAACATTAAATTAAGATCTCGTTCAGTTATTATCCATCATTTCTCAATGTCAAAACAATATGAATGTCCGACTATCATCATTCTAAAAATTTTTGTCTCAATTATCCTAAAGGGTTTTTTTTCTCCATCAATTATTCTAAAAATTTAAAATACTAGAAAATAAACATACAATTTATATCGACCCCTGTGACATTTGTTTTACAATGGAGGGAGACATAACATTAAGTGCATCAACAGGCAATATATAAAACAAGAACATGGTGCATCATATGCTAACAATAAGACTTTAAGCATAGATATCATAATAGAGAGCAGTACTATTATTAAAGTATGTGTAGCTCATATTTGTTGTGTGCACAATGACAAGGAGGTATATATCGGAGCGGGCCAGAGCGTAGCGGAGTGGAACGAAGCGGAACATAACGGAGTGGACAATAGAGTGACCCTTCAATATAGCAGATAACAAAAATGACCCTTCAGTTGTGGGATATGTGGATGCAGATTTATGTAGAGAGACTTGGATGACAGGAAGTCTACCATAGGTTATGTGTTTACTCTTGTGGGAGTACCTATTTGTTGGAAGTCCATGGTACAGCCATAGTTGCACTATCCACTACTGAGTCGAGTATATGACAGTAGCTGAGGTTGTCAAGAGGCTTTATGGCTTACAAGTTTGGTCAAGGAGCTGGGTGTCCAGCAAGGTGGGAGTTCAGTTGCATTGTGACAGTCAAAGTGTCATTGATTTAACAAAAAACCAGGTGTATCATGCAAGGAAGGACCACCACATAGATGTGAGGTTTCATAAGATTAGGGAGCTGGTTCCTTCTGGTAAATTATTACTTGAAAAAGTTCACACTTCTGAAATGCAACAAACATGTTTGACAAAGCATATTACTGCAGACAAGTTCAAACACTGCTTACACTTAATTAATGTCTTCAGTTACTAGATGGGAGATGCCTTAATTTTGCGTCCTAGGTGGAGTTTTCGAATACATGTTCTCTTTTCTCCTAAGAAGTGAATATTTGCCAAGGTGAAAATTGTTAGAGTATGTGTTGACTCATATTTGCTGTGTGCATAATGGCAAGGAGGGAAATGACGTAGCGTAGACGGAGCATAGCGGACGGAGCGTAGCGAAGTGGAGCGAAGCGGGGCAACGCCCCCACAGTACGATACAGGAAGGATTTTGTAAATACGTCCGTACTAGAGTTATATAAATACTTAAGATGTAACCCTGTTTTAAATAATTGAAAAGAACAGTCGCTCGCTCCTGTGGATGGTAGACACATTTACCGAACACACGTAAATCTCTATATTTATTTTCTCTTGCTTTCTTAATTGATTGATTCCTTATTATTCATCATAATTGCTGCACGATCTCCACAACAACTATCCCCACCCAGAAAATGAGGATTAGCATATTCAAAAACAGATTTACTGGATACATTGAGATAGAAGAATTCTGCTTTGTTTCCCCCATCATTGTCAAATGTTTCTGACAGGCCAAAAAACGGCTGATAATATTCACAATGAAGTTTCTCATACTAGTTTGCATTTATATAGCTCAAATAAACATAAACCATGCCAACCCTCGAGGAGAGACGCTGGAGGCACCTTGAGTACTACATCTGGTCCCCTGCAATTTCTCCTCAGGAAATTATAACCAAAGTTGATTGCCAACTTCTTCAAGAAAGATGATCCTTGTTTTGCTTTAACATGTGAATGCCCAAGAATGAACGCAGTCCCCGCCTGTTGAGCCCCATACAGATCTTCTAGCTCTTCCCGCAATTGCACATCAATTTCAGACTGAGAATCAGCTTCAGATTCGTTTATCAACAGCAACCTCACTCTTCTTTCCACAACACCAAGGGGCGCCATCTCAGTAACATCAGCTATACTGTCAACTGTTGGGAACCCAACAGTTACACTTCGTGGTTGCATGGTTTCCTCATTCTCAAACGCAGGTCTGCCAGCAAATCCTACAGTTCCTATCACAGCCAATCTGCACTCACTTGATGATCCACCAGAATGAGATCCATCATCTTCATTACATGTGTTAGAAATCCCATGTGTCCAGCCCCAATCATAACGGATAAATCAACCAGCCTCTTAACAAGTTCAGACTCAAAAGAATCAACATCCTGGTGAACATTGCGGTATCCATAACGAACAATGCACCTGTACGACCGATGAGCTGCAGGACCCACACGGCCTACAAGGTACCGCTCAGCTGGAGGCACAAAAGGGACTGGTACCGACTTCACACATACAAAAACAAGAACACGGTGGAAGGCAGGGAGGTTGGTAACAAAATGCAAGAAGCTTGCAGGAATGCCAGAGGTTTATATAGTAAACACTAGGCCAATTCCAGGTACTCGATCACACACCCAAGCTTGGACCCAAGGCTAACAGCCATCCAATGGAACTTTGTTGTGAAGAAGTCATTTTCATACTTTTTAATGGTGGCATAGTGCCAAACAAACATGACAGTAACAAGGAAAAGTGCAAGGAGGATGGGAAGCCAGGCACCTTCATGGAACTTGGTCAGGGAAGCTGAAAAGTACAGTAGTTCAATAGATCCAAATAAAAATAGGAAGGAAAGAGCTAAAATAGGATGTTTATGCCAGCAGAGGATAATGACCAAGGATGTGAGGCAAGTGGTCACTAACATTACCACCATCACCGCCAATCCTGCAACAAATTACATAAAAATTGGAGTACCTTAAGAAGAATTTCCTTAAATTAACGTCTAATTTCCTCATTATTCATTCCTGCTTTAAAAAGTTATGATTAATATAGAATTGTGAAAGGAAAAGAAGAAAAAAACAAAATCGCACACACTTGTAGACTTCTGTACAAGTTAAAACACCAATGTGCACAGAAATCAGGGGAAAGGTGCTAAAGCATTTTTGCTAGTTAATCTGCAGGAATGTAACAGACAGAAACACTCATTTATACATGGAGGATAATAAATTATGAAATTTCCCTTTGGACCAATCTGACAGCTTATTAGTTGTCATCCAGTTTATTGAAGCCTTGAAAGTTGAAGAAGGTTAGCATCAATTTGATGGTTTGGGCCTAAAAGATCTTACAGGAAAAAATAGTTAGGCGTAATCTACCTGATGCATTTCCCATGTGTTTTATGTCTCTGAACCCAATAGTCACAGCAATGCAGAGGATCATGAGCATCCAGTTGATCTCAGGGATATAGATCTGGCCATGTATCTTATCAGAGGTGTGAACAACCTTCACTCTCGGAAAGCAAGCAAGTGATTGACTCTGGTTGATGATCGAGAATGTCCCGCTGATGATTGCTTGACTTCCCACAACGGAAGCAAGGATGGCTATTGCAAGCACTGGCCACCTTACATACTCTGTATGCAATATACAACAGCGACTATGTTATCCAAACCAAGGCAAACACAATTCTTAAAATATCAGAAAACTTGGATCTTCAAAGAAAACTGTTCCCTCTGTATGCAAGATACAACAACCGTTATGTTATCCCAACCAAAGGCAAACAAAATTGTTAAAATATCTGAAAACTTGGATTCTGCAAAGAAAAGTGTATATCTTTATGTGAGATACAACGACCACAATGTTATACAAACCAAAGGCAAACACAATTGTTAAAAATCACAGAAACCTTGAGTTCTGCAAAGAAAAAGTCTCTCTCTCTCTCTCTCCATAGCAAGTACATATAATAAGCATGCATGGGGTTTAGAAGTCCAACCCGCATACTGCACACCATAAGTCTTTAGGTTGCGGCAACAAGTCATTTCTAGCTTAGTCAACATAAAGCATCACGAGGGAGAACTCGCAATGTCTCTCTATGTTCATTAGGCGGGTTTGCACCAATTCATACATAGAGACCAATGAGGTGCAGGGAATAGGCATGGTCAAAACAGTGGATCCAGTGTAAAACAACTAACGTGAATAGGCCTGGTCACAACAGTGATCCAGTGTCCAAACAGAGTA